TCCTCGCGGCACTGGAACTTTGCAGGGCAAACTGCATGGGAGGGAAGTGCCCAGGAATTAGGTATGCAAGACAAGGCATCAGGTATGAGGTCAGGGCCATAAGTGCACCAGTAGGCTCTGCAATTTCTTCCCCCACCTCATAAGGATTTCACAGCCTATGCTTAATATCAGGTCTGGTATAGTGCAACTGTGTAGTCTTGAAACAGACCGCCATGAAGACCAAGAGCCTGGTTCTCTTTTGCTCAGGAGTTGCATTTAATCTGAGTCCTTGCTATTGGTTTTTGCCTAATCTATGTTGTAGGTGTGCCTGCACCCTGTCTTATACCTCGTTGATGCTGATTTAACTTTTCTTGACTTCTTGGCTTGGCCTTGGACCTGCCTCATCACTATGGACTTGTCTTGTGGTCACTGGACTCTTGGTTGACCCCAGGTTACCATCACCAGACCTGGCCTGCTTCCCTGGTTCAGGTTCTGTAGGACTGTATCTTGTCTGGTGAGTTCATGGTTCCTCCTACCTTGCTGTGACCCTCAGCTCATGGGTCACCTTCCCCTACAGAGCTGCTGCTCCCCTTACTCTCTGATAGGTGAGTCCTGAACAATGATGGATTCCTTGGTGTCCATGAGCTCTGATAGCTGCTCAGGATGGAGATGGGCCTAAGGTGCCTACCCATCACAGAGTTTGACTTCTGATTATACATTTTCATAGCAGGAACTGTCCCCTTGTCCTGTGTTTGTGTGTATCTATGTGCAACACCAAGCACGGTGGGCCAGTACTTCCCAGGCATTTTCTTACTGCAATGACGACAATTTCTTCAGTAATTAGTCTGAGGCTTCCAGATGACTGGAGGTGTCAGGCAATGTGAACATTGATTTTAAAGGCAGGGACTGTTCCATACAGACACAGAGTGAATAAGCAAGGATGCAACAGTGGCAAGAGTGTAAGAAAGGAAGGAAATCACAATGTTTCTATATTTTCTTTTTCAAATTCAAAGAGGTGTTTGAAAGCACTGAGAAACCAATATATTTTTTGTTCAGTCTTGGTCTGTGTTAACCAGTGGAACTGAATGACACAAGATATCCATGGATCCCAGAAGCTAACAGGATTCAAGAAAGTATTAGATATTTGTAAGGATGCATATGTATCCTTGTCTGCATAAGGGAAGCAAACAAGCAAGCCCTGATATCAGACAGCTGGATGATGGGACGGAGTGCACCGCCAACAAGACTGCAGACAACACAAAACCCAACCTGTGAGAACTCCCACAATTCCAGCACTGAATTAAAACTTCAGATTTCTCCTTCTTTTTACTTTAGACTTTTCTATACCTTCCTCTGAATCTTTCAGAATTTGCCACTGTCTCCAGTGGTTCAGGGATCTTTCTGTCTGTGAAAAAATAGCTGTGACAACTAATGAAAAATTAGTGGTGACAGCAATGTGATGAGCCCCTCCACTCACACCAGGAATGGGAGAATAGATACATTAGGTGTCATGTCTGAGCCTGAATAGTTGTTCCTATGAGAATGGGGCTTTGCAGGAGTCCTGGGATTCCGGGGATGGTGTCTGTGTCAGCACTAACTGCTGTTGGCATGGAGAATTGATGGCTGATTGAGGATTTAGATGCTCCCAAACTAGGGCGCAACATATGGGTGAGGATCTGTATAGATCAAGTGTCACAAAAGACCTGGGGGGGAAGGGGAAAGAGCATGGCCGCGGGTGGGCTTGGGCAGGTGTGGGCAGGGTGGGAGGGTTGGGAGGGGGATGCTGAGTGGTATGACAGCAGAGGGGGCTGTAGGCCAGGGCTGAGGTTGATTGTCAGGCCCCCGGGTGGGGAGAAAGCAGGACAAGTTGGGGGAAAGCCTGGGCAGGGAGCTTCTTTCAGGCTGCCTGTAGCTCTTGGTGCACGGGTACTAGGGAGGTTCTCCCAGGCAGACTGCTAAGCACAGGAGCAAGAAGCGTTGCTGCTCCTTCCTGGGCAGGCTGAAGCCATCCGGCAGTGGGATGAGGCTTTTATGGATGCAGAGGTTTAAGCTCCTGGAGGGGAGGTACAAGGCTGTACCTAAGCCAGCTGAATCCTCCTCATCTCTCCCTACCTTTGGAGGAGCAAGGGGCTGTGTCCTGCCGAGACCAGGGACCCGTGAGGAAAAGAAATCACTCACCACAATTTCTCTCATCCAGCCCATTGGGGCAATCTTTGATCCCGTCACAAGCTGGGACGCACAAGCCATTCACCAAACACAGGAACTCCCCGGGACATGCTGTGAAACCACCAGAGAGTAGTTAGTCCCCAGTGACTGGAAACCTCCTTGCAGCAGAGCACTGTGGCTTGAAAGTGGAGCATGGAGCCGCACACCTTCCTGACCACACGTGTGCTGCGACAGCGTGCTGGTGGCACTTGCTGACTGCGCTCTGCAAAATCTGCCACGTCATCTGCTCTGAAGAAGGGCAAATGGAGCCAGGCTATGCACCAGGGGAAGGTGGGATCTTTCCCTGCTTCCCGTTGTACCAACGGGAAAGAGCCAGGACAACCACCCGCCTGGTGTGCTGTACCTCTGGTTTAGCACTGTTTCATGACTCCTGAATGCTGTGGAAAAGCTGAAATAGGTTATTTGGAGTTGCTATTAAAACTCGGTCAGGGCCTTGAAGGGGTTGGTGTTAGACAGGTGTTGGCAGGTGCACGTATGCAGGGACTGGTACGCATTACAGGCATCCTTTAGGAGGGAGATGGAGAAACCTTGGAAAGATGACCGTGGGCGTGCATTTGCACATGTGCGTATGAGTATTTGTGTGTGGTTTTATTTGTCTCTCACTTGCATGGATTATAAGATGAGCAGGAAACAGCTCTCTCTAAGAGCCCTTATAATTAGAAATAGAAGTCACTTCAAGTCAGAGATACTCATTAAATTCTCAAGGCCAGTCTGTGATGTGGGCACAGGGGTGAGCTTGTAGGCAGCCCTCTGAAGCTGGGCTCTGGATGCTCTGGCAACACGAGGCAGGGCCACATGCGCAGAAGCAGCTTCGCATGTAAATGCCTCTTCTTTTCAGGAGATCAGTGGTGTGTGCATCACCACATTTGTGAGCATGTGCCTGAAGGGCAGATGGCACTTAGGGCTCATGGGTTGTGTCTTGTGTTTCTTCTAACACAAGCCAAGCGCACAGGGGCTACGGTAGCCACTACCCCACTAAGGAGCAGGAAGGAACCTGAACTTACGGTCAGATAGGTTGTACAGGCTGTAAGCTGCCTGTACGCCGGGGCCAGTTAAGGAGATCTGTGAGGTGAAGATGATGGTGATGTTAGCAGAGGACATAACTGGGATCCGCTCAGCGTAGGCTTGCAGGGTCCGCAGGCCACACAACCTGAGGAGCAAACACAGGTGGGATGTGTCGAGCAGGGAGGGAGGAAAAGACCACAAAGTGGGACAAGGGGACTTGGTGGGGGCTGGGATGGGAAGGGAGGCAGACAAACTGGGTGGTGATGGTAAGCCAGGAAGGCAAAATGCTTTCAGTATGGCATGAGATACAGAGTCCAGAGTGACCCTACTATCTTTGGACATTTCCCACTTTCTGGGCAACTGCTGAATTCAGGCCACACAAAGCAATTCAGTTCTTAAATTTATCTTCCTGAAGAAGCCATGTTGTAGAAACTGTGGCGCTGACAGTTTACTAGAGGAAGGCAGGGAGGAAAAAGTGGAAATCCTAAGCCAGGGGAACATAGCTTCTGGATCAGATCCTTCAGAGGAAAAGAAGTTACCCCCACAGGAGCACTGGAAAGGAAGTTAATCATATGGGCTGGGGGAAGTTATGGAGGGAAAGGGGCAATTTTGCAGTAAGTGGGAGGAAAAACAAAAGCCATAGGTCCATCCATCTTGAAGCCTGCTTTGAGGAGATGGGAGTGCAGCAGCTCTCAGTCCTTTGCACCTGGGCAGTGGTGGGCAGCAGCCCCAGCTATATATGGATACTGATTTTGGGAAGTCCTGCAGGGGAAAGTGGCTGTAGTCAATGCAGGAGGATATGGAGCGAGGAGGAAGATCTATACGGAGGTGGATGCAAGGCAATGGCACACACAGATAATATTGCAGAGGTGGTGACAGGCAGATTTGCAAATACAGGAGACGTGGGAGGACACGAAGGTTACACACACAGGAGAAAACTAGGAAGCCTGATGCAAACAGCAAGACAGAGAAGGCAGGCTGGTAGCTCAAAGCAAATTTGTAAGAAATGTGCTCACTGGGGAGCCTGTGAACAAGAGAGGCTGAAGAAGAAGTAGAAAAGCAAGAGGCACCAGTACAAATAGTGGCCACTGAATGTGGTGATAGGCTCTCCTTCCTCAGACCTCATGGCTGAAGTGAGCAGGGGACCTGCAGAGGTTTAATCCCAGTTTAATCCCAGGTGAGAAGTGAGAGATGGAAACCAGGACCCCAGCACACACCTTCTGTTCTGAATTATCCACTGGCCTTGGGTACAGGGCAGGTCATGCTTCTGTCTGCTGAGTGCATAGGCGTCAAACCACAGGGTGACCCCATAGTCGAGGGATGGGACCTGCAGGTAAGGAGTTCCAAAGCAGAGTGTAGATGGCTCCCATGAGTGCTGCAGCCCACTCCACATGACAGAAATGAGCAGGGTGGATGTGAAGGGGACAGCTGCCAATGCACACATTGCAGACCAGAAGGAAGCATCCTCTAAACTGGAGCCAGGCTGCAGGTCAGAGTGGCTCTGCTGCTGATCTCAAAGCACGGTAATTCCTAGGAATTTCTAGCAATCTGTTTCTGCCTTGAAGAACTCCTGTGGAGACCAGATTCCAGATTCATCCTCTGCTATGGCATGCAATATTAGACTTCTTCCCCTTCAGAAACAGATATTATGTGGAGGCTAGGCAGGCTGCCACCCTCTGCTTGCTTCTCATGATGATCTGACTGAGAGCACTGGCTGTACCCCTGCTAATGTGGAGAGTATCGCATGGGTTTCAGGGATGGAGTGGATGCTCTTGTGGGAACTGGCTCTTACCGTCATGTGCCAGGTGCACTGTGTGTTGGGCGAGTAGTAACTGGGGTAGTGTGGGGTGCCGATCTTCCCCTGCAGCTCCAGGCCCTCCTGCAGAGTTATATTCACTTCGCAGCCTGTAAATACAGACATTGAAATCCCTGCTACCTGTCAGCTCAACCTCAGTCTGGGGATGCCATGTACTCATCCCATTGTAGGAGGGGAGAAAAGAGGCTCTAAGGCCTGATGCTAGAGGTGACGGAGATGTTCCACCATCCCCCTTCATTTCTACATGGCAAGACTTCTAGTCTCCTCATCTTGTTCAAAGAAGGATAACGGTAATGTACATTGCTGCCTTAGACTCTTATATTGAATGACATTTATCTGTGAGCCCATTTGGACATGATGTTCAGGCCACATCTGGTCTGTTCAAGTGTGAGAACTTGGGCTTGCTCCTAAAGTATCATGATCACTCAGGCTCAGCTGGGCTATAAAGACTCAAGCTAATGTATGAGTCCAGGTGAGGGAGCAAAATCTCACCTGCTTTTTACTGACCACCTCCACCCTTGCAATCTAGAGTGAATTCTGACCCTAATGGGGATGGTGCACCACTAGGAGCTATGATGTTGTAGGAGACAACCTGTCCCCTTCCTGTATCTGTGGTCTCCCTCCTCCAGCCTTCCTCACCTCTAAGGGGCACCGCCTGTGCTGAGAGGATGAAGGGGTCGTAGTAGCTGTACATGGCTTTCTTCCACACAATGGACATGACAGGGCCAGATGAAAGGACTTCCACAACGGGCTCCTGCCGGCTACAGCCATAGATCCTCAGGGGAAAGAGATAAAAGGATGGGAGTGAAGCAAGCAACAAACAAACTAAAGAACGAGAAAGAGAGACAATGGAGGTCTATGTTATCCACAGCACACGCCTGCTGTGAGGCACTAACTGAATCAAATAAAGGGCCAGCAGAGAGACAGCTCATGCTGCTGTAATCTCTCAGACTGCACGGCTGGCTGTGTGATATCCCACATCAGTGACTTCAGCTGATCAGCGAGAGGCAGGTTCTGCATCAAAGAGAATTTCCTCTGATGTAGTCTAACACTTTCCCCTGCTGTGGTGCTTCGTGCCATCCTGCCTGGCTTCCCTGCTGTGCTCGCCCTGCTCAGGAGCTACCTACGAGGTGATGAGATGTTTCTCCAGGGGCCCAGCTGCGTCGTACATAGCCAGGCGGTCCCTGCAGTCCGGGAGAGTCCACTCCAGGCGTAGCTTGATCATGTAGCCCTTGAGGCTGTGGAGGTGCCAAAGACAACTGGAGGCCAAGTAGTCAGGGCCCTCCAGCCTTAGGATGTCATCCTCCTGGACATAGCTGTACCTGTAGCAACCTGAAGCCAGGGGAAAGATACACGGATTTAAACCTCAGGATGGTGTAAATGGAGGCAAAGCGGGGCTTAGGACGTGGTTGTAAGAGAAATTAAGATATGGGATTGTCCCTTGAGATATCAATGTGAGCCCCATTTCAGGGTAAGGCTGACTCATTCCAGTAATCTCACTTTACTCTTACATACGTTGCAGTGGCACCAGTCCCTTTGTACCAGTGCCCCAGTTTCTGTCTGTAAGAACTGTCCCCTATTCCTTGGTTAAGCCAATACTACCTCAGACTTTAAATATCAGCACAACACATTCCACTGGCTTAATTTTCTTCTTCATCTCTTTCTCCTCTCATTCCCATATTCTTCCTGGATTTACACCCCCCATTGTTTGATTTCCAGGTTTCAGCAGGCTTCCAGTCCAAGATTTTTGAGTAAAAGTCAGCTTAAAGGTCAGTTTCCAATAGTATATCTAATACAAGCTGCCAGCCACAGCACTTACAACACTGCTTGAAATTACTAAAGGCACCTTCAAGCATCACTAAGACAACATACTCCTAAATGACTGACACCACATCCAGAGCAGATCCACGCAGAGAAACCCCCATCCCACCCTGTAGGATTTCATGGGGTCTGGAATTAGCATTTTTTACTAGTTTTACTAGTACACCAAGCTATTTGACAGGATTCATCAGGACAGGGACAAGACTAAGGTGGCTGCACTGGGAGCTGGTATCTCTGCACAGTGGTGTGGTACTGGGGCAGAGGTGTCGGGATGCTCGGAGCGGTCCCGCACGTAGCCGCATCAGGTAGTATGGATCCGGCCAAGCAGCAGCACTGGTGCTCCCTTGCTACTGTTCTCATCTCCCCTTCCCAGGATTTACAATTCCAGGAAGCCAACATGCTTTCTGTCCCCTGTAAAAATCCCTCCCACAAACTCAAAAGGAAAGGAAAAAATAGCCTACCCAGAGTGGATTTCAGCACTACTATGTCTTTCACACTGGATTCTGTTAGAAAGGAAATATATAAAGGAAGATAAACAAAAAGATAAACTGGCAGTATGTGAATTCTAGCATGGCAGGTGATGACTCCATTACTTCCTATGTAAGTGGCATGGGGCAGCTCCAGGTATTTCTCAGTCTGCTCTCAGGGACCTGTTTCAGCCATGCCTTCCCTACCTCATCTCTCTGGGAAATCTCTCTAGCCTCTGCCCCAATTCCAACAGCCCAGATTCATGCTTCCCAGCCCACCGTGAGCTTCTCTGCCTTTTTTCCTTGTTTGTTTTTGTGTGCTATTCCAGGACCTCTTCTCCTTCCCAGGAGGGCTGAGCATTGCCTCAGGCAGCCACCCCTATCCTCTGCCAGCCACACCACAGGGCACAAGCCCACTTCCCAGGGCCTTCACTGTCTGCTTACCCCTCCCCTGTTCTCCCAGTTTAAATAACTCTCACTGAAATGCATCAGAGTTACTGAGGATGGGGAAGGAGGTCTCTTTTGATGACCACTGGTTGATGAACTACTCAACATCCTTATAGAGTCCACCTCTGGAGAAGGGAGATGCAGAGAAAGCCACCAGCAAGGACTACAAACTTGTGCAAAATAGAGTCACAGGGTGGACAACGCTTTTAGGAGAGCTGGGCTTTGCTCCAGCCTCCCAGCTGAACTGGGAGCAACTAGAGATCAGGTGCTACTGGTTATAATTGCCAAAATAAAAGGCATCGTGAGGTCAGTTGGGTGTGAGAATTGTTGTTGGGGGCTTGCTTAGGTCAGGGTTTTGGTCATCTGTAGCTCCTAAGAAGAGCTTGAAATTCTGTGGGAAGAGCTGAGCAGTTTTGTCATGGCAAAAACAGATGTTGTGGAAAAGATGATCCTGCACGCATAAGGCAGGCTCCCAGAGAAGTTCATGTGCTGTAGGGAAGGACGTATGCTGAGCTGATATTAAGTACTCTTTTATCTGAAGGTATTAAAACTGAGTTCCTATAAGGAGAAGGAAGTCCTGAAACTCTTCTGGTGAAAGGGAAGGCTAGTGTCCTGGGGTGAGTGTAGCAGTCATTAAAAATAAAGCATTGGAGATGTTGGAGAGGTTCCTGAGCTAGTCAATAGTTTGCAACTCTGTGTCTTATGGCAGGCTGTGAGACTTAATGTTTAGAGCTAAGCAGGTCAGCAAATGAGTCCATCAGAAAGCAATGAAGTGCTAATGACTTGCTATTAGCTAGCTATTTTTTTCACTCCAATTTTACAGAGCAAATGAAGCCAGAGGTTAAGTCACTGTCTTGAGGTCATCCTGGCCCAGCAGTGTAAGAGGTTTCTGGCTTTTGCCACAGTTGCTAGACAGTGCTTCTGACTGGAGAGGAAGGTGGAAAGGACTAGAGAAAGCAGAAGGAGATGGAGAAACTACAAAAATCTAAAATAGAAAGAAGTGTGGTCTGCTGAAGTGAATAAAACAGTGAAACAGATGCAAAAGAGATAAGAGGGAACTGGAAACAGCTAAAAAGAATGGCACAATCATTTTTATTTGTTTATGAGTTACATTATGAAGTGAGCAAATAAAAGGAAAATGCTAGATGGGCTGACTTGGAAGCATTTAGCATATTGTCTTATCATATCTTTCTTAAGAAAGTTAAATTAAATTGGCTGAGCATAAGGTCTGGTATGCTGGAAAAAGATCAGAAGTAGAATATTGATGGTAACTGAGGGAGGAGATGTCTTCATGAGATGCTAATGCAGCTGCAGAATAAGATCTTAACACAATGGTCTGGATGAGGGAGTGAAAATCATTTCGAGGAAATGAATTTTTCTTTGGGGACACAAAAAAAATGACCCCCAAATCAAAACAATTTAGATGCGGAAGGAAAAGTTAAAGAAAATATGGATGGGATGTATTAAAATAAGATTCACCTTAGAAAAATGCAAGATAACATGTCTGGGGAAAAAACCGTGGAGATGTATCACTTCATGGGAAGAAGAAACTTGGAAATGAGAGTCCCCAGGGGAGAGAAGAAACACAATGTATGTTATGGCCTGTGAGGTTTGGGGCTCTGTAAGAGGGATCAGATCAGGCTGAGAAGTTAAGTCTTTTTATAAAGACCAAATACAAATTCCATTGGACTTGGATGCATTGAATATAGACACATCCCCTAGTCCTTTATCTAGCACCTATTTCAGAGCAGTTCTGTGGGGGTGGCTTTTTAAACAGGCTGTGATCTTAACTCTGGGCAACAATAAATAATCCCTAAAATCATATGTCAGGAATTGAAGTGGCAATAATGCTTTATCTCAGAGTAAGACTAGTGGTGACTTGGGTACGTTGCCTTTGTTCTCTCAATCAAGTAGCCTGGAATAATCTCCCAAAGGAACACAGGAAACCTAATTGCTTGCTATTTTTGAGCTGAGCTGATCAAAGTCATGACCTGTGTAAGATCTTACTCTGCAGAAGCCAAAGCTGATGGGAGAAAAAAAAAAAAAGTTACCTAGCTGGTCATGGTCAACTGTATCTTTAATTCTTCAAAGGAAGGATGCTTTATTAAAATCAAACTTCAGTTCTCCTCTATGAGGAGGAAACATGTGTAACTGCATTTCCTGACTCTCACTTCTTCCCTATCCTCTTCAGATTTCCTCTATCCCCTGCAGTAGTGACTTCTGGCCTCTTGTAACCTCCCATCAGCACCTTATAAACTTTGGAGCATTTCTGACTGCTCAGGCCACAGCTGAGCAGCTGGTACTTACCCAGCAGAACCAGCGAGTCTGGGTTGACCTTGTACTCCGTCTGGTAGGACAGGCTGCCCGAACTGTTGAAGCTGATGGAGAGCTCTTGGTGGAGCATTGTGTTTACCCTCTCAACAGTCAACTCCTCCCGCTGACTCTCAGGGATTTGGAGGGCAAACCAGAAGAAGAAGGTCAGAGCCCCCTCCCTAACAGAGAAATAGCATGTCAAATATCTTCTTTCTTCCTCTCCAGAATCACTGGAGAGGCAAACCCCAGAGATTAACCACCCACTGTTTTTCCACAAATCAGACATATCTGTGTGGACTTTCCATCTCGCTGCTGTGACCCAGAGGAACCACTCTGAGTGGGGCAGGAGAGCTGCTATGTCCATGGTGCTAGTTAATGCTCAGTCCTTCAAAGGAGGAAGATGTTTTATGCCATCTGCCTTTAGTGATGACCATACACACTCAAATTAATGTGATAATTAATCAAGACTGGTCTAATGAGTAGTATCATTTCAGGCAGAAATGACCTTTGGTTACTACTGACCAGACATTGAAAAGAAACACTCAAGACTTCATTGTCTCACCTCCCAGTGGTGACAAGTATGTCTCAGTACCTTACCACAAGCCATTAATGCTGGGCAGGCTCAAGCTGCAGGACACTGTGACTGGGAAAGCTCTGTTCAACCAGCTGGCAGAGAAAAATGGCTGAGGGAGGGGGAAGAAATGTTGAAACAAACCTGTGTTGAGTAAAAGACTAGAGGAAGAATTGCAAGTGAAACTTTTCTTTCCCCAGTTGAAAATGCAGTTGCATCTAAATTGGAATTTTCGTTAGCTGAAGGACAAATTTAGGGGTGTAGTTCTCCATGGAAAAAGAAATCAGAAGCATATGTATACATCAGTTTAGAAGTTATTCCTGCTTTCTTGATCTACTGTGATGACTGCAAAGCTGTAGTCCCATATCTGTCCCATTCCACTGTTACCCTATTCCCAGGTGGACCATGCTTCTTGGCTGGAATACTTTTTCCATGGTGCATTCTGGCCTCTCCCTTCTGGTGCCTAGAATCAGGCCATAAAGTGACTTTCTTGAATTAGAGAAATTAATTTCCAGCTGCTTAGTTTCTACTGAGAATGCCAAGCCCAGGTTTTGGTTTTTTTTCAGTTCTTCCCAGTAATTTTTTTTATCTCTTGAACTTTTGCCTCTAGGAAAAATTGCTCAGTTTTGGCTTTTCATCATGACCTCGGGTGAACATCAAAATATCCCCAGCTCTGTCATGCTGGAACCATTCTGGATCTGGACTGCCCAGCCTAGCCTAAAGCTCATGATGGGGACTGCAGCAGTTTGTCATGGCCAGATTTCAGCAAAACCAGAGTACAATTGACCGGAAGCTTTTGCACACAAACAAGCAAAAATGCTCTGGGTGCTACTCACCCAAAGGCATACACTGTGCTCGAGTTGTAATATCGACTCAGGTCTGTGGCACGAATCAGTTCCTTCAGCTGCAACGAGAATGTCATCCGATAACTATTGTGCAATGTTACAGTGGCAAAGGGCCTACGGTCAACCCTATGTTTCATCCCTCTTGCTGTACAGACCCATCAAGTCTGTCATTTGGATGGGGGTACCTAACCCCTTCCTCTTTCTACTCACTGAACTGCCTCAGGGCCAGCTCTGGTCATGAAATTGCCCTCACCATCTTCTGGAGCTTAGCTGACTCCAACCAGAAGGCTCTGGACTCCACCTGCCCAAGGTCCGGGGAGTATTGGCGATTGAGGACCTGGAGGCTTCCAGAGTAAAACTGCAGGATGGCCGGTTCCAGGTGCCACGGTCTGTAGTCTGCCAACAGAAGACACTACTGGATTACCTTTCTGATATGTAGGAGAGAGGGATTTACCCCTATGTATGAGTCTGTAAAGATCACCCAGAGTCACTAATGCACTTTGGCCTGAGCATTGCCTTGACTACACCCCATCCACCTCCTGTGTGGGGACAAAATATGTTGAATTTTTACCTAGGAAATACCAGGTTGCTGCAGCAGCTCCAGCCAACAAAAGAAAGGCTATCCCAAGGGGCACATAGCGGAGGCAGTCACGGGAGTTAGTCTCTGATCCGTCCTTTGAGAGAGAGTTGGCATCTTCCTCCTGTTCCTCGGCCTCCATCAGGGGCATCTAGTGACACAGCACGCCATGGTCAGGCTGGGTTTTCTGCATCCCTTTACATCTGTCTCTGGAGGTGCTCTGCCATCTCTGTGCTCCTCTCCCAAGATCTATAGTCCCAAGAGATCTGCATGCTAGCCGTAAAAGACTTTGCTCAGAGCAAATGTGAGTAAAACGCCTAATTCAGTGGGAGACTGGCTTCCAGGACACGGTCCTGTCTACGCCTCCTGGGTAATCCCTCAATTTTCAAAGACATTCCCTGGGTTTTGCTTCTGCCAAAACCACAAATGAGTACAATAATGAATTTCTCCAGAGACAAAAGTGTTGTCCTCCCAGGCTGGGAATGGTTTTAAAACTGGTATTGTATTGACCTAGAAATCAACATAAAATAAATTTTGTGACCTCAAAAGCACACAGAAGTTGCACAAAACAGCCACAGCCTTTACTCTCAGTCCCTAAAAGTAAGCAAACCTTGCCATTCCCACCAGACTGTATGTCCCAGGGCTAAGCCCCTGCTCACAGTGACTTGCTAGCTGAGCTAGTGAGGAGAGAGCACCTGAAAAACCTTCAGCTCTCCACCACCCTCTGCTTGTGCCAGGGGACACCTTCTGTCTTCCTTTGACCCTCGTTTACCCCAGGCTGCTTCTTTTGCTTCCTCCTGACTGCTCCCCTTCTGTCAGCCCCAGACTCTGAGGGCAAGAAATGCCATTGCCCAAGAGAACCACGTTAATCTTGGTTATCGCACCCGCCTTCCTTCTCCTTTCCTCTGCCATCACCCAGTGCACAGCTCCCTCCCAAGGGCTTAATGTGTTTCTGTGGCTGGAGAGAAAAGTGATGTGAATGCATCCACATGGGAGGGCACAGAGGTCTAGGGGAATGCCTGTGGCCTGTCTGTGTGAGTTGTCCTCGTGCCCAGTGGTGTGTGTGACTGTGCAGGCATGAATGTGCAGGAGGGACTTGTTGCAGACATGGGAAGAGATGGTTGGCCTCACACCCATTATAGCCCACGTGGATACCCTGGAGCGTTCCCATGATAGGGGCGAGTGGGCCTTCCAGGCTGCCTTGCAACATGGAAACGTGTTTGCAGAACGTAAGCACCAGGTAACTCACTCTGGAAAATTAAACCCAGCTTGCTGAACATCAGTACTCAGACAATCAGCTGCACGTCTGCTTGCTCTAATGTACCCTTCCAGAGAGGCAAGTGGTACAAACAGGTCCAGGACAGACTGTCCTCCTTTGCTTCTTGTGGGTCACTTTTTTGTGCAACCCCTGGGGAGGATCTCCTCCCCAGTGAACCAGGTTGGGCAGTCCAGGAGAGGCAAAGAGCAAAGGCACTTCTCTGCTACCACAGTATCCCTTCAGAAACAGCAGGCACAAGCAAAGAACCGCAGACAGAGGGGCGGGGGGGGAGGAGGGCAGGAAGCAGCAGCAGAAGAGCCTCTTTGTTAGAAGATTTGATGGTAGGCACCGGGGTTTCCCCCAGAGCTGCAGACCTACCTCTGAAGCCCGCTGCCGCCTGCGAGGCCTGGCCCGCACCCCCTATGCAAGCCAGCTCACACATGCATGGAGGGGGAGAGAGAGGAGGACATCTATTTACCCAAGCTCAAGGTCTCCTCAGTGATCAATAACCTGATGCATGTCCCCTCAGCTCGGCCTTTGTCCTGCACGGTCCTGCCACGATGGGTCAGCACACCCTGTACAATGACTTTTTTCTTTTCTGAAATGAAGGTTTCAGAGGCTTGCAGGGGGAGAAGATCCACAGGCTGAGCAGAGGGATCCTGGAAAAACTCAGGGTAGGAGCACCTCCAGCTGTGCAGAGAACAACCCAGGAGGCTGGTGCAGATAGCTTACGTTGTCCTCCTCGGGGGACAGGGAGTTGCTGAGCAACTGCTGTATTTCTTAGCTACCCTCCTTGGTCCCATTGGAGGGAGAGGCAAAACACAGGGTGTTGGCTTCCCAGCAAACAGATGGAGCAGACGCTGTCTGGTAGGTGTAGATTGCTTGAAGGAGGGAAGATGGCAGTAGACAGCGAGTCCAGTTACCACAGTGGTCATGCAGATGAAAGCAAAGCACAATGTCTCTCAGTCCCGACCTGCAAGACTCCCTCTGGTCTTCTCACACTTCTCACTCCCCAGCCTCCTGACACTGGGCTCCCCACACTGTGTTGCACCACCACTTGCTCTTTCCTGCAGCATCTGCTTTTCTTATAGCCCTGGGTCCTCCTCACCTACCTTGCCTGCACCACTTTCTGCTTACAGCCCTGCAGCTCTGTATATACCCCTGTGTTTTCCACAAAAAGCAACCACACTCCAGCTAGAGCAAATAGAGTTACTCTGTCAATAAAGGTGGGGGGGGGGGCGGAGGGGAGGAGACATGGACAACTCTTGACCTGGGGCTGAGCTCCAGCCAGTGGCATTGACCTGGGGCTGAGCTCATTTGGGCTTATTTTGGCAGCTGGGCAGGGATATCTGCTTTCAGCTGTGCCACTGGTTCAGAACTGCAGGTCTGGGACTGCATGAAGATCAAAAGCCATTGCTGTAGCTGCCTCGTGGTAGATTCTAGTAGATAAACGTTAAATGTGGATGCAAAGCTGCAGTGTTTGACTGGGAATGTGTCAGTGTGGTTATCCTGACTAACTCGTTGCTGTACATATGGAAAACCGAGGCATGCAATGACAATAAGAAATGCTTTCGGAACTGCTCAAGAGATTTAAGAGACCAGATTTCACTTTTAAAAGTTACTTTGAGCCAAAATTTCCCCAGATAACTGGGGACTAGCTGCGTCTTTAGGCACATACGTATTTGTATGTGGTTTTCCCAAGCTTATACCATGAGGGCTTGCCACAGTGGGTCAGACCCCAGCTGAGGGTATTTCCCGATGCCAGAGACCTTACTTTTTTGTATCCAACTTTACTGGAAAGAAGCATCCTCCTTCTCTGGTGTTTTCAGCAGAACAAAAAATATAGAATCTCAATCATCTATCTAAGCAAGCATACCACATCTATCACCGCAGGTTTTTGAATCAACCAAGGACCCAAAACCTTGATCAGATCTGACTTCAGAAGAATTCCTTTGCTGCAAGTACCCTTTGCTTTCTGCTTATCCACAGTAAAAAAAAAAAAAAGGATGTGGGAGCAGGCTGAGAGTGGTGTTGCCTATTTACGAACAATGTATCTTGGAAAGAGAGAGATGGGAGATGTGATAGCTATCTTTGCTGTCTCTGGGGTTAAGATAAAGAGAGGACTCGTGTCTGTGGCTATTAGCTCAATATTTTCCACACAGTGCCGGTTCAGCTTTGGTTTGCCTCTGGTACCAATGAACACTGTCATAGCATCTTTCTGTGGTTTTGCGAACGACACACTGTGCATTCACATGAGCTTGAGAGGGCATTGCTCCCCATGCGACACTTCCAAAGCACTGTTGGGGGCCCAGCAGAGAACGAGCCCCGTATCACTGAGAGTGTTATGCCTTTGGTAGTCACAACCTGGGTTACTCACATATGAGACGACATGATCTTGTCTTCCTGGAAGAAAGGTCCAGTTATCACCAGATCTGATGTTGAGCGCTTCCTGCCGCAGTGTGTCACACATTCACACCCAGCGTGCCTGCGAATGCAGTACTAACAGCTTGCCAGCTTGAAAGCTGTCAGCATTTTCACAAGGGTTGGGGGGGGAATACTGAGCCAGCAGGATGGTCCTCAGGGGCTTGCAGCAGGATCACTTCCAACTCTGCTTTCTGTTTTCAGTGACTGAGTCCCTTGGGGAAGGGAGTAGGAAGGACAACTAAAGGTATATAGGTCCAAGCAAAGCTTTGCCTAGTTGCATATTTAGAAAAGCTTTCCCTCCACCCCAAAGGACAGAAAAACATTGTAGATTCATTAATATTTCTTTTATTTACAAGAAGGTGATTTTTTCCTGTCGTACTCAGCAGCAAGAATAATTGAAAAGCTTATGAAGATCTACATTGGGACAGGATAAACATCGGTACAACTAGGATCCTTGGCCCATGTAATATAGAAAATTGCCCATCAGGGGCAAGGGAGTCAGTGTCTTTCTTTGAAGTCCATCTGGGAAGATTCTCAAAGTACAACAAACAGCTGGACAAGTCTTGTGCTTCCTTATCTGGGAAGCTATGGGGTCTTCTTCACCTGCTGTCTCCTGGAGACAATGGAGCAGTCCACGTCTTGATGCAGAAGATGATGAAAGGAGGGATACAGCTCCCCCAGCCCTCTCACCTGCAGGCTCCTTTCAGCAGCTCTTTTGAGGTGAAATCCAAGCTGGTGGATGAAATCATAGCTGGGACTCATAATAACGTTCAGACTGCATTAGACAAGCTCAGGTAACAGTGTGGGACCAGGACAAAGGGGAAGCTCGATGCTTGTACAGACAGACGTAGGGAATAATTAGTTCTGGGTGATACTCACAGGGGTGGCAGAAGTACCAACAAGTTTGGTATCCTTGACCTTTTTGATAGAAAAACTCTTAGAAGAAAGATTTTTAGCACAGGGCTGGTATTTTCACACTCCTGAATAGTCCAGAAATATAGCAAGAAAACGTACAGACAGTACAGATGTTGAATGCAAGGATGGATGTAACCAGAACAGTTTATCTTCCTTTGCCTTGCCGCTTTTCTTCTGTGGTGTGCTACTTTTTCTCAACTCAGATCAGCAAATGCAGAGTAAAAAGAAAAAAAAAAAAGGTAGTTTTTGCTATCCCCATTCTTTGTGAGTGGATTGAGGTTTTCTTTTCAGCAAAGGTGCTGATTCGTGGGTTGGTTTTCTGGGCTCATTCACCATATCTTTGCCGCTAATTAGGCAATGGTTTCCCTTGAGCAATGGAAGGAATGGGCAGCAACGTTGCAATGTTTTCCACTAATACAGGATGTGGGATGAACTATTCTGCAATCAGTTTATCGTAGTCAAATAACTGTCTTTTGCCAGCAGGGTAGAGAGGCTTTCGATTTCATGAAAAATAATGCAGCAAGAATGGGAAATTGTGTGCGTTCTTTTTACTGCCATCATCAGACCTGGGGGAAAGAAGGGGGCGTGGGGGGGATTCCCCCAGTATTTTTAACCCAATAATGGGGATTTCTTTTTACACTGCACTGCTTACACAGCTGACACAGTTGTGGCTCTGAGCTGACCTTAGAGACTCAAGTCTAAAGCTGAGCCAAGTAGCTCAGAATGTCATCTTTGATTAAAACCTGAAGTGGGGACATCACAGAAAAAAAATACACCCTTGGTCAGTCAGGAGGAGATATCTTCATCCATTTCATTATCAGCCCCAGCACTCACTGGCAGTGCTACTGTCCCTTGTACAAAATCTCATATCCACCTCTTCAGGTATTTCTCCCTCCCATTAGAGGTTTTTCAGCTGGAATGAGGCAAACAGACCATGTGCCTGCTCAGCCTCAAAGCTGAGTGCTATGTTACACCAAGATGTGGGGCATGGAAGTGCTGGCACGGCCTCTTGCTGGGAACTGGAAAGGAAAAAACAGGCTGGTGAGGTTCAGAATGGCACTTGGTCAGTGTGGGAAGGGGATTCTAGGCCATCAAATCCAGTAATAGCAGAGAAACAGATTCAGTTATGAAGGTGAGTCCTTGTTGGCCTGTATGCCTAAGAATCAAGCTTCTACATCTCCATTTGCTGTGTAGCCACTGAACAGCTTTAATGTGCCTTTATCATTCTCCATGTGTGGCTTTACTGTCCACTAGCCCAGTTCTCCATGCAAAATGTCCTCTTATTTCTAGTGGCCTGTTTCACTAACACTTTACCTTGGGAACTAGTGCTGCCCATGTAGCCATCCATGAATTTACACCTTGCCCACCCTATCCCTTTTGTGGTTTTGCAGCCCTCTAGGGTAACTGTGTTCTCCAGCTTCAATAAAGAACAGTCCCAATGGGCTGATGCTGAAGTCACATTCATGTCCTGAATAGAAAAACTGTCCATCTAACCTTCCCTGCAGAGAAGGCCTTTCCCACCTGTGGATTTTCTTCAGGCAGATCCTACACAGAGCAATGGCTGTACTGGCTTTGGAGGTCCCTCAGAGAAAGGTAGGCACCGGTGTTTGGGACCTGGCTGGAGAAGGCTGTTCTGCATGGATCCTCCTCCTGGCTTTGCCTTAGAGGTGGAGGCTGAGAGAAAGAAGAGGTAGCATATGCTGCTGGTGTACAGGGGTCAATCTCAGTGCCTGCCTTCCCACTCCCCTCCGTTACATCGATAGTATTGCTGTCATGCAGGTGTGGTGGGTCAGGAAAGTCAGTGTTGAGCTGGCACAGGGCCTCAGCAGGTTGTAAAGCTGCTTTGTCCATCACCTTCTCATCCTGTTTCAGAACTGGTGTTGGTGAGGTGCCTTCACTTGACTGGAGAGCCCCAGAAATAGCAATGGCCTGCTGGGTTTCACCTTCTGTCTCTTCCATGAAGGAGCTATTTTGGAAGCCCCGGGTCGCCTTGATACAATGAAGGAAGTTATGGGACAACACGGGCATGTCCTCTGCCAGTGTGCAGAGGTCTGGGGAGGGGAGAGCATGGTAGGACTCGCCATCCTCATTGCCACTGCCCTCCTGGGTGAAAGGCTCATAGGTGAAGTAGACCTGACAGGGCTCGATCTCAAAGGAGTTGGGAAGGTGGAAGAAGAAGTAGCCTTGGTTGGTGAAGCAGCTGGATACAGAGTGCCCACTGGTTTCTAAGGGAGGATCAGGAGTCAGGGTTCCCTTGGAAAGCAGAAACTGGGATTCATGATCGTTCTTCTGCATCACCTCGAGCATGGAGATCTCTGGGGTTGTGCTGTTCACACAGTAGGAAGATGTGGAGAATGGAGAGGAGAGCCATTTCTGATGGGGAAGAAACACAGGAGAGAGACTGTTACATCCAAAGTATAACAGTGAGGAACCAAAGGTTTCTTCTCCTGAGCACCCACAGCAATCAAGTGACCTTTTCTCTGTCCAAGCAAGAGTTGCTGGAGGTGGTGGGGAGGGAAATTCACATTCATGATGCCTCATGTTCAGAGAGAGTATATATTTCTGTCACTTTGAAATCATAAGCAGATCTTGCAAGCCTATGTTTTGAGATTTCTGGAGGGGGGGAACAGAAGATGGAGGATTAAAATGAAGGGAAGAAAAAAAAAAGCAAGACCATAAGATGAAGTGAAGGTAGAAACATGAAAAGCCACACTGAGATGTGTCTCATGCAATCTATTCCTAGGTGCTCAACCAGTTTCTGATACATCTATGTGGCCCTATGCAGATTTCTTGTCTAAAGTGCTCTTCCAGACTCCCTGTGCCTAGATTTCCACACTCACCAGGAGTGACATCCTGCAGTGCATCATTACCCTTAAAAATAAACATGTTTTGATAACACCCAACTTCATTGCCTTTATGGCCAGTGAAGCCAATTTTTCTACTTTCTGCACTGAGAAAGTGTCTTCAGTGCCTGCTGCACACCCCCATTCCCCTACTCTGCACTCCTCCCCTGTAGTTTAAGCTTTCTAAGGCTTTTTGCACATAGGCTTTTCCAAAGCTTTGCTGTCCTCTGGACCCTCTGCAGTTTGTTTCCACCCTTCTTAAAGTGAGATGTCCCTTGGGATCACCTCCCACGTCTTGCATCTGATGTTCCCTTTAATACTGCACAGAACGGTGTCTCCTTGCAGCTGCCTATACTCAAGGAGAAATTAGGGGAAGGGAGAAAGTGGGGGTGGAGAAAGAAGAGAAGGAGAACAAGAATGCAGAAAACAGCTAAGTGCCAACCAGCATGATGGCAATTCACATTAGGAGCAGAGGAAAGGCTCACAGCCAGGAGGAGGGGATCACCGCAGGAAATCTGGGAAGGGCTGGGCAGCCTAAGGCAGGCAAGGAGGGACAGAAGTGGGGTGGAAGGGGATCTGAGAGGCCAAGCTCCCTCCCACAGGTCCCTTGTGCTGAGGTTTGCATGGTTTGTCATTTCTCGGTTCTGTAATTAGAGATGCCTCAGCCGAGTGTCAGGTTTTAGAAATTCAGAAAATAAAACTCGAGTGGACAACCCAGCAGCTGGTGTTGTGTGTGCACATGTAGGTCCAGCAACCAGCTGTCTGTCCCGGGCATGTGCAGCTGGACCCTTCTTTCTCTCATTTCTCCCTCATAACCACGTGGCTCCATCCCCAGTCCCATACCTGAATGTCACCTCCATGAACTGAAACGAGTGGAGGAAAGAACTTCTCGGGGTCTGGGATGTGAATCTTCAGGATCTTCTTAAACCTTGAGAAAAGAGAATGCGAAGGAGGAATGAAGCATGGCCTGATCCTGACCAGTCTGGCACTGTGGTGGGGGTAGGAGAGAGCAGCGCAGCTCATGCATACTACCCTGGCATGGAGGAGAGGTAAAATACAAGTCTGAGGGCTCTCTATGCTTTTGAGTGGCCTGAAATGCAGTAGCTGAGGGATAAGAGGTATAGGGATGAGGCAGTTAAACCTGGCATTGGACAGTACAGTCCCCTCAGCCTTTTCCCAAGGGAAGCACAACCAGCAGTTCTCTGGCTTCTTCCCTACCTTGGTTGGTCACCTTAACTTCACCACCTGTCCCCTTAGCCCCCCATCCTGATGACAAGCTGGGTAAGTCTCTCTAGTTACCAAGCTCTAGCTGTTGTGAGTTGCCCTCTCTTTGCTTTGCTGCCACCACAATGACTCAGAAGACCACATTGTCTGAATGGGACCATCGCTGGCAAAGCTGTGCCACAACTGTCTGTCTGTCCTGTTAGCAGGACACTGTGTGGTATAACTAGGACACACCGGCCATGCAAGCCATCTGAGCACACCTTGCGCCAGCCCAGTAGCCTCTACGTTACTGGATCCAGTGTGTTTTTCATCCTGAGGCAGCATGAAGTGATCTAATCTGCTCCTCAGTTCCTCAGAGAGGTTGCTGATCCTGTCAGCTCTTTGCTGAAGCTTTGGTGTGGGATGCTCTGAGGAAAAACACTCCTGACCTCTGGAAGAAATCAGTGTACTCTCTGAAGCATCAGAATTTGCTACGTCTTGCATATAAACTACCTTACATCACTGCAGATGCTATTTTTATTCATGCATGTCTAATCCTTCCTTGGATCTTACCTCAGCATTATCCTCCACCCAATTCCCCCAGGTTAATTATACTCTGTGGAGAAAGGAGCACTTTTTATCTCTCTCTATGCCATATAGCTAACACTTCCTCAGCCTTCTGTTATGACTCAAGGTAAAACACAGTGACCAGTGACTTTCTCAGTATCCATCTTCCTTCAATATGCATCTCCTTCTTTCCTTACAGAGGAACCATCCCAGCCTCTGCTGCCTCATCCCTGAGAACATTTCTCCCTGCTCCGTGCCACAGATATCAGCATCCTGCTTCTCTGCCCCTGTCCTGAGATGAGAAAACCTGAGGCCATTTCTAACCTTGCCATGCTGACACATCACTCTCCGTATTATTGCACAGAGTAACCTCGTGAGATACTTTCAGTCCTGAATAAAAGCAGTGCCTGAGTAGAAGCACTGGCAAGGAGATCTTTAAAGCATCATGTAGATGTTTATCAGCATGTGATGAGACACTTCAGGACTGCACAGACCAGGGAGAGAAAGAATTGTACTCCTCATTTTGACTACAGACCAAACGTCACCATGTCCTGCCTGAGCTCTTGCCAGCGTGTTTAACTAAGTGAGAAGGTAGCGGCACCTATGCTTGCTTGGTCCTCTCTACTGAGGGAGTGCTCAACCCAGTGGCCTGCTTTTTAAGAGGCAATTTTGGTGCATCCCTGCCAGGTAACACCACTCTAACGCATGGGCAACAGAAGTGCTGAGGCAGCTGTTTTGAATTCAGCCAGGGCATGGCACCAGGTCACAGGAGAGCGGCACAGCATGATGGTGGTGGTGAAACCACATCTTCTTGGGTGGTGTTATATCTCCCCAGACAAATGTCAGCCTCAAAAGGCTGAGCTAGAAACCATGTTTTTAAGTCACTCTCTATCCTGAGTAATACCAAGTGAAAAATAATCCTGCTTTTGAGAAGACGCATAAGATGCAGGAGAGGAACAGAGAGGAAAACTTGATTCTCATTTACCATTTCAGGGTCCGTAAGTTAATAAGAAAGGCAGTCCCGATGATCACAAAGATGCAAGTGCTCACTATAAGAGCTGGCAAGACCGGACGGGATGTTTCTGCAAGATAAGAGAGAACGAGGAACTTGCTGTGAAAATTTAGCCAGGATTCTGGAGGTAGGAACTGCATCCCTTCCATGGCTGTTCAAGCTGATCAAAGTGAGCCTTTATTATAATTTTATATAATATATAAAACATTGTATTATAAAAAATTATAATATACAGGTCAGATA